AAATGCAACTTAATGGGAAATCCTAAGGAGTGGGGGATTGATTCTGGTGCCACCCTCTATGTTTGTGCTGTTAGAGAAACATTTGCTTCATATGCTCCCATTGGACCCGATGAGACTATTTTTATGGGAAATTCTGCAATGACCAAAATTTAAGGTTATGGAAAGATATTCCTGAAGATGACCTCTGGCAAGGTGGTGACTCTGAACAACGTTTGTCATGTTCCTGAAATACGGAAGAACTTAGTTTCTATTTCACTTCTCTTCAATAATAATTTTAAGTGTGTTTTTATTTCAGACAAAGTTGTAATAAGTCCGAACGAGATGTACTTAGGAAAATGTTACCTTACTGAGGGCCTTTTAAGCTGAATGTAATGGTTGTTGACAATAATAAAATTTCAGCTTCTTCTTACTTACTTGAGTCAAATGATTTATGGCATATACATTTGGGACATGTCAATTATAAAACCTTGCGAAAAATGATTAATTTGGAAGTATTGCTTAAGTTTGAATCCAACAAATCAAAATGTCAAATATGTGTGAAATATAAGTATGTTAAACATCCTTATAAGTCAACTGAAAGTTATTCAAATCCTTTAAACTTAACTCACAGAGATATTTGCGGCATGAAGTACTCGATATTGCTATGTTTACTTACTTAATAATAAAGATGAAGCAATAGATACATTCAAGCAATACAAAAATAAAGTTGAAATGCAACTTAACAAGAAAATAAAAATGATAAGAAGTGATAGGGGTGGTGAATACAAATCTCCTTTTGAAGAGATATGTTAGAATATGGAATTATTCATCAAACAACGACCCCTTATATGCCCCAATCCAATGGGATAGAGGAAAGAAAGAACCGATCATTAAAGAAAATGATGAACGCTTTGTTGATAAGTTCTGGTTTGCCACAGAACTTGTGTGGGGGGGGGGGGAAGTCATTCTTACGGATAACCGGATACTAAATCGAGTACCCCATAGCAAAACGCAATCCATTCCATATGAAAAAGTGGAAAGAAAGGAAGCCCAACTTAAATTATTTTAAATTGCGAAGGTGTTTGGCAAAATGCAAGTTCCTAAACCCAGAAGGATAAAGATATGACCGAAAAACGTTGATTATGTTTTCATAGGATATGCAATAAATAGTAAAGCATATCGATTTTTGGTTCACAAATCAAAAAATACTGATATTCATAATAATACAGTTATAGAATATGATAATGCTAAATTTTTTGAAAATATATATTTGTATAAAAAGGAAATGAGACGATTAGTGAAAGATCTAAACGACCTCAGGAAGAAACAAAAGAAAGTACGTATAATCAGGAGGATCCAAGATGTAGTAAACGCCAAAGAACATCTACTTTATTTGGACCAGATTTTGTGATTTTCTTATTAGAAAATGAGCCTCGAACATTTAAAGAAGCTATAATTCTTCTTCCAAATTAATACTTTGGAAATAGACAGTCAATAGTGAAATAGAATCCAGACTGAATAACTATACATGGGAATTGGTTGATCTTCCTCCAGGCAATAAACCATTGGGTTCTAAATGGTTTTTTAAGAGGAAAATGAAAGATGTTGGTACTATTGACAAATATAAGGCAAGACTTGTAGTCAAAGGGTATAGACAATGAGAATGTCTTGACTATTTTGATACATATTTTCCAGTTACAAGAATTACGTCCATACGAATGTTAGTAGCATTAATTGCGGTATATGGTCTTGAAATTCATCAAATGGACGTTAAAACGGCCTTCTTAACTGGAGATTTGAAGGAAGAAATTTACATGGAATAACCTTAAGGGTTTGTGGTTCCAGATAAAGAAAAGAAGGTATGTAGACTGGTTAAGTCGCTTTACGGACTAAAACAAACACCCAAATAATGGTATGCAAAATTTGACCAAACAATATTGTCAAATGATTTTAAGATAAATGAATGGGATAAATATGTGTACATTAAAAATGTTACAAATCACATAGTTATTGTTTGCTTATAGGATGATATGCTAATGATGAGTAATGACATTGCCAATATAAATGCGTCCAAACATATGCTAACTATCAAGTATGATATGAAAGACTTGGGAGTTGCCGATTTAATTCTGGGTATTAAGATCCATAAGACTCCTCAAGGTATGACATTATCGCAATCTCATTACATTAAAACAGTACTTGAAAAATTCAAGTACTTAGATTTTAAAGTTGCAAAGACTCCAATTGACATGAATCTTGCACTTGCAAAGAACAAATGTCAAAACATATCACAATTGGATTATGCTCGTGTGCGGTGATGTTTAATATATATTATGAATTGTACTCGACCAGATATAGCTTGTGCTATAAGTAAATTGAGTCGATACACGAGTAATCCAGGTCAATCTCATTGAATGGGATGAAACAATTATCCTACAGTGATTGGGGGATACTGTGATGCAAATTGGATCACCGGTTCAACTGATTCTAAGTCCACAAGTGGATATGTATTTATTATTGGTGGAGTAGCGGTATCTTGGAAGTCGTCCAAACAAACGTGTATTGCCCGCTCTACAATGGGGGCTAAATTTATATCCTTGGATAAAGCCGGTGAAGAAGCTGAATGACTTCAGAATTTCTTGAAAGATATTCCATTTTGGCTCAAACCATTAGCACCAATATGCATACATTTTGATAGTCAAGTGGCAATTGGAAGGGCTGAGAGCGACATGTATAATGGTAAATCTCGTCATATACGACGAAGACATAAAACCGTTAGGCAGCTACTCTTTAGGGGGGTCATCACAATTGACTATGTAAAGTTAATCGACAATGTGTCAGATCCACTTACAAGAGGCCTAACTAGAGAAGTAGTTGAAAGATCATCGAGGGGAATGAGATTATGAACGAGGACAAGTCATTGTGACGGTAACTCTACCTAGAAGACTGGAGATCCCAAGATCTAGGTTAAAGGAGATAAAACAAAGTCATTAATGACGGTTCAACATTGTCAACTAATTTTTTTTTCCATTCTCATGATGAGACAATGTTTAATACCAAAGATAAATTATTAAGGCCTTTTAATGGTTTCTAAATTTAATATGGGGTATATCAAAAAGTGTATTTACTGGATTACACGTTTAGGAATCACCTATGTAAGTGAGAAGTATTAGCCGCTTCAAGGAGAATTTTGCAAGGGCAGTTCTCTACGCACTTATGAATCAAACGATGTTCATGGCTGAAATGAACACAACAATGAGATCCAAAGACGGTTAAGGGTTGGTTGTGTGACTTATGGTTGTCTAGGTATACACCAAAGTTCGATGGTTCAAAGATATCAAATCTACCGATTGATCGAGTATATCTGACATATGTTCACTAGGGAAAGTTCAAAAAGAAATGTACTTATCTAGATGCAATTAATCCTTGCTTGTAAATCACACAGTTTTTCATGCATATTTTCGTGATCCATTCCCCATTCATGTGGGGGATTATTGGGTTTAAGCTTCTCAGAGCTTAAAAGAGGGTGAATGAAATGGAGGAAAAAATAAAATTTTGATTTTTCCTTCTTAACAAAGGGACATTGTCCCATATTGGAGGAGGAAAAGTCTTTTGATGGGTATATATATATAATTGCTCTTTTTTCTAGCTCTTAAAGAGTTAAGATGAAGGCAAGGTTCACGTCGTCGTTGTTGTCGCTCGCTCGGATCGGCTTCGGCCGGATTTGGATTCGGTCAAATGATCGATTGATTGATTAACTTTTAGCAAACTATTCCCTCAGATTTTCCTTACGAAAATTCCGATTTCTCATATGAAACACTAGGGTTTGAAGTACCATTACACCAGTGAGGTTATCCGTTTGGGAGAAAATAATTCTAAACCTCGGGTATTACGAGAGGATTAAGTTCCTTAAGAAAACATTATGAATTCAGTAGGTTCGGATTAATTCTGTTCTTCTGCATTTCTGATTTTACATTGTTTCTATTTATTGAATATATTTTCAAATACAGATTAGTATATAAAGTAATAATGTAGATATTCTAAAATACTTAGTCTTGAAATACCGAAGATTAAGTAGTAGGACAACGCATCTTAGCTCATGTCGTATCATTTAAAAAGATGGCATATTAATGGTGGTTGATTATGTGATTATTGAAGTAACAATTGTCATTAAGAATAATATAATGTTTCTATTCAAAGTTGAACTCCAACAAATTAATTATAGTGAAGAAGATCATGCCCTTCCAATAAGTAAACTTTTTCATTATATTCATTGAACTTATGATTTTTTCCTCAAATGGTCATCCAACTTATAATACTAAAGCAAGAAACTATTTTTCACTTCTACCTTAGAACCAGCTACTCCAGCAAATCACTGAACATGTCTTTACGTGGGCTCTGCTTCTGTTTGGTGAAAGCTGTGCTATCGTTGACTGTTTGGTTATGATTATTTTCTGGTTCCCTCTGAATAAAATATTTTCATTTTTGCTTCATTATTAATCTGTAGTTAGAGGTTCCTCTTTTTTTTTCAGTTGACTTTGGAATTCGATGGTATTTTTTGGGTAACCTATTGCAACTTTTATAACTCCAGTTCCAGTTCCATTTCTGGTTATTGTTGTTGTGAATATGTAGTCATTCTACTATGGAGGAGTTGGTTGTTTCATATGGAGAGCTTTGATGGGGAAAAAAATGATTTCAAAGAATTAATTTCTCGAATAATCATTCGACTTACAATTTTTTCTACAAAAACTAAAATCATATGTATTTTTAATTTATTTTTTTTTGTTATTCTAGCGTGCAATTTAAGAGATATGGAATCGTCTATCTCTATTACCAAATGAAATAAGTCGTTGAAATTGCAAAAAAATCGGATCTACAACAGGTAAACTGAAAATATAATTTGGAAACATGAAAAAGGAATCAGGATGTTTTATAGTGAGCTGAATTTATTTTCGATGGTACAGCTAATGAATTTCATTAGTACATCTTTTTCCAAGAAAAAAGAAGATGACACATCTTGATTTCTCAAAGCAAAAAGGAAATATGAATTATGTATATCCGCAGGATAAAAATTAGACCCAAATCAGATCTGATTAATTACAATAGCTTCACTGTGAATCTACTTTACAAAATCACTTGGAACTTGGATCATGTCTCTCAACACAAAGAGCTAATCCATTTCCCTTGCCATCTAATCCAGAATTACATATTTTAATCATCTTAAACATTTACAAGTATGTAATCTGGAAAAAAACAATTGTTTCAAATTGTATGGACATTGGCATCTATAGGTCCAGGATGACTTTTAAGGACATCGTTGTGACAAATATGTTCCGAAGTCCATGTCTTGCATTCATTTTCTTGGTATCGAAGTCCAAAATTTTCCCGAGAAAATTCTCCCTCTTTCCTCCTCTCGAACCGTGGCCTTTTTTCTCTTAGATTTTCCTTCCATTGAAGAGGAAAATCCTTGTTGTTAAAATTATCTCAAGGAATTTGACATCCCTTTACTCACAAATGTTCTGCCAAAAGATGCCACACAAATTGTTGTATTTTCTTGTTTTCTCAGGAGATATGCATTCTACCATAGCCTTTCTTTTGAGACTATTTGGAGTTACTTTCTGTCTTTTCTCCCTCATTAAATGGGGCTTAATTCTATTCATATCTGATTGTTGGACTGGCTTTAGGAAAAATTCTTCAGCTCCTTCTTCCAAACATCTATTAATTCTTGATGGAACATTTTCTGATGACATGATTATTACTGGGATGTCTTTTAAAGACGATGATCCCTGTAAATTTGACAAAATTCTTATTAGTCAACAATTTTATGAAAAAAATTACACAATCTAAACATTTGTATAATAAAAATTCAATACGGTAAATTTTTTAATTTTTTGTCACAATATACATACCTTAATCTTTCTCAATAGGTCATAACCAGTCATTCCAGGCATGCTATAATCTGTAATAATCAAATTGATTCCAATTTCTCTTACATGAGAATGGTCAATTTCTACTCCTTCATTCTCATCGCTTGACAATCCAAGATACTCTAGAGCCTTACTTCCTGAATCCACAACAGTAACTACAAACATAGAAGAAAAAAAAAATAGAAACCAAGATCCAACAGTTGACATAATTTTTTTTTTTTTTTTGGGAAAATAAAGATGAAATATCAAAGTACCTTGGTAAGAAGAAGTCTTGAGGAGCCTTTCAATGAGTTTTCTATCAATAATACTATCATCAACAGCTAGAACATGAAACTGATGATCCATTGTTGCAACTTGTGCCATGTCCAATATGATGATTTTTTAATTTGTGAATTGTGTAGATGTGAAGAATTTGGGTTATGTTGGTTGGTGTTTGTGAGGTTATTATATGAAGGGAATGACATGATGATATGGTGTTGATTTCAAGAAGATACGCAAAATATTTGACAGAAGGGAAAGAGAGATACGAATGCAGATATCAGATCAGAATCTCAAGGATTTCCTATGTTGATTTTCTTGACTTTTTCTTGATTTAACAAATCTTTGGACATTGTAAAGAAAGTGACCCTTTCAAATGAGAAAAGGCTAGATTGAGTGGACGGTGGATCCTACCATTTGATTTTGTTTTTAAAACAATCCAAGTAAGAGGTCACATGCACATGGATGTGTCCCGCGGATGAGATAACTCTTCCCTCAATTGAGATATCAGTTTCGAGTTCTCAGTATAGAAAAATTCTTGATAAGGAGCACTTTCTCCGAACGAGGACCTACGTTGTGTGAATCTAAATATAGTCAGACTTCAATGTGGATATTGGACACCGAATAAAAAATCAAAAAATAATGTCACATGCACTATTCTTCCTTCCTCTTTCTTCTTGGTGTATCTTTTTATTTTAATCTTTAATTTTGACAATATCGACTATAGTTCTTTTTTATTTTGTTTTATATATGAAGTTTCTATGGAAAAGATTACCATTCCCTATTGCAGGACCACACGTTTTATAATCTAATGGCAAGTCAATTTTGAAAAAGAAAATGAATCTTTTTTTCAAATCTTTTGTTTGGCTTTGGTCAATTAGTGAATTTTCTACCATTACTGTTTATCCACACCACCAATAAGTGGTAAACGACATCCCTCTAACAAACATTAGATGGGAGCATGGCAATAAAGGAAGATCTGTACAAATAATAACATCGATATCACGCGGTCCAAAATGAAGCTTACATATGTCCTACATCCTATACAGATTGCCCCTAATTGTGAAACCATGTATATTGCAATAAACATGAACACATGCAAAATTCTGAGTATAACTCAAAGTATTCAAGATAACATTGTTTATCCATAAAACGGTACAATTACATCTATACGTGGTTTATAGACAAATTAATTAATTAAATTCTAAGATAATAGATGAATAGACAAAAATATAATACTTAACCTTGAAATGAAGATAAAATAGTACTACGGGAACAGGGCTTCAGGGAAAAATAGCAACAATATCAGTAAACAAAAAGATAGAAGTAAATTAAGTTTCGAATAGAGTGTAGCGTATGTTTGCAAGAAAGTTCTACTCCTTACAATGATAATAGAACTCACTATTTATAGCTGCAACTAAGGAACAAGGTCCTAGGATCAAGCCCCTTTTTAATGTCAATTATGAGGGTCATTGAAGAATGTGTAACAGCAGGTAGTAAATGCCATATTCCCTGCAACGGGCCGTGTACTTAATGCTATAGGATATTCCCCATTAAATACTACCGGGTGACAGGCATTTACTCCATCTTTATGAGTATCATTCTCTCTGGTAACAGACGGGATCGATGCCTTCTAATTCAACTATCTTCTGTCTTCGGCTCCATGCGTCACTTCCTCATGCGATCATTTAATATAAACATATTTATCATATATAGATAGTCCCCCTGCTTTTTGGTGGTATAACTTTGTGTCATCGAAAAGTTAGTAGAAACATCCTCTTTGGCGGGAAATTCACTAACCCCCTCTGAAAAATTTCTGACGGTTGATTAGACGCACGTCTCTCCGCTTTTAATGCCCTGAACACACGTTATCCCACAATTTAGCATCACTTTTGCCGGTTGTCAAGGTAATTATGACCACGAGTTTAGCCGTCTGCACCTTTACTTATACGCATCAAACTTCTTCATTTATACTTCATAATTGTTCAAACATTCTCACACTCTCTTCATTCAACTCGTACTTTGTCTTCATCATCTCTTTAACCTTCTTATTAAAAAAAACGTTTCCTTTTTTTCTGGTAAAGAATGGCTTCTTCTTCTAGAAACCCTAGTTCCTCAAAGAACAAAGGTAAAGCCGACGAGGCTGCTCCTCCAACGGTGAACACCATCATCCCCAAAAGTCTTGTCACAACTAAAGACTCCGAAGAGAAATTTTCTTCTGCTAACTCTCGTACATCGACCGTTAGCGTATACCCTTCTTCCATCCGTCCTTCCAGTATTCCTGCTGTGAAGGAAGACTATCATTGACAAGATTTAGACATTATCTCTCCCGACCTGACGGAATGGGTAACCTTACCCAAGAAGGGTTTTAGATATTTTTATAAGTATCCCTTCACTTTGGGGTTGTTCTCTTTGAGTGGAGAGATCGACTCCATCATCGTGGAGTTCTGCATCTGCTACCAGGTATGCCTGGTACAAGTAAGTCCTTCTGTGTGGAGGATAATCGCTAGTCTTTGGTGTATGTACCAGAAGATGGGAGATGAGCTAACTCTAGCTCGATTGATGAACCTTTATTCCCTCAAGATCTTTTATAAGGGAATGATAAATTTCAGTAAGCGTGGCCACCATGCTCTGCTATCTAGCATGGATGATCACAATGACTGTGGGTGGATAGAACGGTTTGTTGCAGTCGCCGCCAGCGTAATCATTCCGGACATGGCTTCATCCTTTCTGGAACTATGGAACTGCACTCGTAAGTTTCTCGTTTATCTTTTCTTTCATTAAAGAACATCTCATATCATTATTGACCCTTCTTCTTTCTCTTATTTCAAAAACTCGATGTACCACTTAGGGTTGAAGGCTTGGACCAGTGGGTCTAGAAAATCTTGTACGTCACTACACCCGAGACCCCTAAGTAGAAAAAATTGGCCCTTAAATATGGGTGGAAGGCCAAAAATCTTGGTAAATTGGACTCATCTCGTCTTTACTTTTTGTGTAAGGAAGTTGATTAACCTTTCTCTTTTGCTGAATTTAGTTCTAACCCAGGGTTCAGTTGTCATACTCGAGGAGGATGTTTTGGCTAGTCCTGCTAATGCAGTGTGTCTGCTGCAGGAAGCTATTACCCGAACAGGTGTCTCCGGGCCTCTTTCTGGTGCAAGTGCTTCTTCTCGGAGTTCCCGGATAGAGAATAAGTAACGAAAAAGAAGGTGTTCCTCCGTGTTTCGGGGAAAAAAATAAAAAGGCAAAGAGTGCCACATCCGAGTCATCTACGGAAGTTGTGGTGATGACTCCCCTACCCGAGTCGGCCATAGACACCGTGGTGATCGATGATGAAGGAGAAGCTAGCGAGGAGAGGGCTTCTCTACAAAGAAGACGCCGACCTTCCTCAACTCAACAGAATGCTCAATTTGTTGAGTTAGTTACACCAACTGAGGATGATGCCTCGGCACTCCGAGGGGAGTAAAATATAGTGGAAAATGTTAACTCCCACTTCCGAATCCTAGTCACCGCGCCTGGCACTCTGACAGTTTATTAGATGCACGTCTTTCTGCATTTAATGCCCCGAACACGCGTCATCCCATGATTTAACATTACTTTTGCCGATTGTCAAGGTAATTATGACCACGAGTTTAGCCGCCTACACCTTTATTTATACGCATCAAACTTCTTCATTTGCACTTCAAAATTGTTCAAACTTTCTCAAACTCTCTTCATTCAACTCATACTTTGTCTTCATCATCTATTTAACCTTCTTATTAAGAGAAAAGTTTTTCCTTCTTTTCTGATGAAGAATGGCTTCTTCTTTTAAAAACCCTAGTTCCTCAAAGAACAAAGGTAAAGCCGACAAGGCTGCTCCTCCTACGGTGAACACCATCATCCCCAGAAGTTTTGTCATAACTAAAGACTTCGAAGAGAAATTTTCTTTTGCTAACCATCATATATCGGCCGTTAGCGTATACCTTTCTTCTATACGTTCTTCCAGTATTCCTGCTATGAAGGAAGAGTGTTATTGCGAAGATTTAGACAGTATCGGTCCCGACCTGAAGGAGTGAGTAACCTTACCCAAGAAGGGTTTTACATATTTTTATAAGTATCCCTTCACTTTGGGGTCGTTCTCTTTGAGTGGAGAGATCGACTCCGTCATCGTGGTGTTATGCATCCTCTACCAGGTATGCCTGGTACAAGCAAGTCCTTCTGTGTGGAGGATAATCGCTTATCTTAGGTGTCTGTACCAGAAGACGGGAGATGAGCTAATTATAGCTCGATTGATGAACATTTATTCCCCCAAGATCTTCTGGGGGAATGATAAATTTCAGCAAGCGTCGCCACCATGCTCTACTATCTAGCATGGATGATGACAATGAATGTGGGTAGATGGAACCGTTTGTTGTAGTCGCCACCAGCATAATCATTCCGGACACGACTTCATCCTTTCTGAAACTATGGAACTGCACTCGTAAGTTTCTCGTTTATCTTTTCTTTCATTAAAGATCATCTCATATCATTATTGACCCTTCTTCTTTCACCTATTTTAGAAACTCGATGTACCACCTAGGGTTGAAGACTTGGACCAGTGGGTCTAGAAAATCTTGGACGTTACTACACCCGAGACCCCCACATGGAAAGAACTGGCCCTTAAATACGGGTGGAAAGCCAAAAATCTTGGTAAATTGGACTCATCTCGTCTTTACTTTTCGTGTAAGGAAGTTGATTAACCTTTTGTTTTGCTGAATTTAGTTCTACCCCAAANAGTATCCCTTCACTTTGGGGTCGTTCTCTTTGAGTGGAGAGATCGACTCCGTCATCGTGGTGTTCTGCATCCTCTACCAGGTATGCCTGGTACAAGCAAGTCCTTCTGTGTGGAGGATAATCGCTTATCTTAGGTGTCTGTACCAGGAGACGGGAGATGAGCTAATTATAGCTCGATTGATGAACATTTATTCCCCCAAGATTTTCTGCGAGGGAATGATAAATTTCAGCAAGCGTAGCCACCATGCTCTACTATCTAGCATGGATGATGACAATGAATGTGGGTGGATGGAACCGTTTGTTGCAGTCGCCACCAGCATAATCATTCCGGACACGACTTCATCCTTTCTGAAACTATGGAACTGCACTCGTAAGTTTCTCGTTTATCTTTTCTTTCATTAAAGATCATCTCATATCATTATTGACCCTTCTTCTTTCACCTATTTTAGAAACTCGATGTACCACCTAGGGTTGAAGACTTGGACCAGTGGGTCTAGAAAATCTTGGACGTTACTACACCTGAGACCCCCACGTGGAAAGAACTGGCCCTTAAATACGGGTGGAAAGCCAAAAATCTTGGT